TTTATGACTCAGCTGGCTCCTGGGGCCCTGTTGCCTTATTTATGGTCAAGGCTTTGCTTGGGGCTCTATAAAGCAAATGAGGGCAAAAATGGCAGTCTTGTAGGTCAATTCTTTACCCTAAACAGGAAAAGAAAAATCCGAAGTCTAGTAGGAGCTGTTCAAAAAGCCCTCCGCACTGAAACTATCCATTGCCTATTTGTTGTTGTAATGCACTAGAGATCAAAGGATTTCTTGGTGAATTAAATGTTTTTTTCCTGAGTCCATATTTTATAAACATGTATGCAAGATCATAAATTCCATACCTCTGGACTTCTTTTGTGACTAGGTCTTAATCATAATGAATAACATTTTATACCAATTTAGTGTTCCTTTTTGGTAGATGACATTAAACATTCCCACATGAACTCAAATGGGTAGATTATTATTAACCATTTTAAGGAGTTTAAAATATTCTGGGATGATATTCATAATGATTTCACTGTATTTTAAATATTACATATCATAGTTCATATGAATAATCTTAAAACTCTCCTCTGAGTCAGTTTTTGAGCCTGATTCTGATATTTCAGTAAAGTGAGAAAAAAACACATTTGTACAATTTGAATGTATAATGGTGACAAATCAATTTATGAGGCTGTAAATACACAACATTTTAGAATTTGGGGTGCTTTTCAAACATAGCAGTAACTAGAACATTTATCAATACTGCACTCCATGATTTTTGTCACCTTTAATATAATAGGAGTTACTACTTACCACCCCTTGCCCCCTTTTCTGAATCACCATTCCAGGGGGGAGATACTTTCATTCCAAGCTGATTTTGAGCAAAATGACTAGTTTGCCTCTAAGACACTATTGACAGTTCCATCCCCATCCTTCTCTCATTCAGTAAGTGTGGGCTTTCTGTTTTTGTTTCACTTTGCTTTTGCCTTCCATGAATCTTCCATCTGAGGAGCCACAGAGTGTACCTTTCTGGGACTGAGCTCTCTGGTGTCTACACGAAGATAAGAATGCATTTTAAATGACTCTCCAACGTATAGAACGGCTCTCTTCCTTCGTGTTGGTGTAATTAACATTCCGCCATTTTCATCGTGTCCTCCTGTTTTCTCAGACGTCCCAGCCAGCGATTGACTAGTGAGTCTGATTTCTTAGGTGTTAAGAAATACATGAAAGGAGTTCACCATCATGTTTACTACTCTTTGTTCTAATAATAATAATGTTAATGGAATAATATCCTGGAACCAGATTAACGACAGTTGCCTCAAAATTAACACCTCAGTCCTACCTCTGTATGTTTACAGTAAATGCTTTGCGTCACCATTTGTCTTTCAGCAGTTCACAATTACATGTCACGGGGCATAATTAGCTTGGCAGAACTACCTTGCTGACAGCCAAATACTTTCTTTTTTTTTTCCTCTTCTATTTAAATTTGAAGAACCTCCTGCAGATCATTTCAGAAGGGCTTTAAGTTTAAAGCACCATAAAATTGCTGTGTCTTCTGTAGTTGTGCTTCCGAAACTCTACCATTCACATATAGCCTCACCCCCTGTCCCTCTTGGGAAAATGAAAAAAAAAAGGCAGCAGTGTGGTTGATAATAGGTGACGAATTCTGCTTTGACCTTTTCCCCAGTGGTTCTTTACCAGATTGTATTGTCTTGTTCATCTGTTCATTGTCTGTTTATTTATTCACTTATTCATTCTTAAAAATAAATCTCTATTAAGCACGTACTGTGTGCCAGGTAGGATTTAAGATGCCAAGATCACAGGGGTGAACAAGACTGCTGAGACCTCTGTCCTCGTGGAACTTACATTCTAGCCAGGGAGAACAGACGTAAAACAAATACATAAAAACAGATGACTAAGATGTTAACTATGAGGAAAACAGAGTGAAGGTGGTGGCAGAGTGACTGGGGACCAGTAGCATCGTTAGGGTGAGGAGGGAAAGGCTTCTTTAAAAAGTGACATTTGCAGAAAGGCTGAAGCGGCAAGGGAGCCAGCCTGGTGATAATCTGGTGGAAAAGCATCTCAGGCTGAGGGAAGTTCAAGTCCAGAGGCCCTAAGGCGGGAACCACTGCAGTGGACTAGAGGAGCAGAAAGAAGGCCAGTGTGGCTGGAGGGCAGTGAGCTTTGAGAATGGTTTTCCTTAACTGATTTTGGACACCAGGAAATGACTGATGGTCCACGCAGTCTGGTGTATGCAATGAGAGTTGCAAGAGAGGTCAGATCTTTTCTTAGTTTTCTGGGGACCAGCGGTACATATCCATCTCGTGACCGGCTGATGGGAACCTGACTTGGCTTAGCATCTGCTGTCCTGGAGGAGAATTCTCCATTGAGGGGGCATCAGAGCACTGGGCGCCCAGACTGGCAACTCCCTGTGTGGAGAAGGGAGATGGGTCAGATTACCACGAATTCTTCCCCCGTAGCTGCTGATTGAGTCCTTGCAAGCTTTTTTGACACAACAGGTCACAGGGAGGGAGGCATTGCTTGTACGTTTGCTCATCCTAATTATTAAGTTTTTCAAAGATTGAACAAAAATAGGACTGATAAGTAAAGCGTACAGAGAAATAATGATCAATTACTGAAATACCTTCAACGTAATTTATAGCAGAGAAAAACTGAAACTCCCTATTACACATGGCTCGTTCTTAAAAGGTTTGATTGTGCAATAAAAGGCTCTCTGAATGCTCATACTATCCCTGACTGTTGCATGCCCAATTTTCTTAAGTACCTCAATTTGCGAATAAATGGTGTGCACATACATGCCCAAGAATGAGCTGAGCGTCACTGGCTCCCTCTCCGCCCCCTCCTCCTGGGGTTAGACAGGGTGTTGTCCTGTTTATTCCTACCTCCCAGCCAACGTGCAATAGGATCAGCAAAACGTAACGTGCTTGCATAAAGGGCCTGTTGTTTTCAGCCTTCTAATTGTGCTCCTTTCTGCCGGGGAAGGAAGCAGTCATAAATTTCTGTCATTATCTTAAGTAGCAAGGTTTCACGGCTTTGGGAATTCTGCGTTACTCGTTCTTTGTGAGCTTCCGCTTGAATTTCTAGATCCCCTAAACCCCAAACTGCCAGACTTTTAAGCAGTCCTCCTTCAAATTTCAGGGGCTGTGACCCCTGGATTTCAAGGCAGGATGCAACCGTAGTGATTCTTTCCTTGAGGAAACTGATTTTGAGCCGGGAATCAGTGCACCTTTTCGATTCGCCAAGGCTGTCAGCTCCTCTGCTCTTCTTGATGTGCTGTGGATGTTGAGGGTCTGCGTGAGAGTTTTATTTCTGTGTTGTTGTTGTTTGTTTTCCAGACTTAAATAAATTCACAAATTTCCTTTGGCATGGGCTGTTTTAAGAAATATTTTGAAGGAGCATTTCATTCCCCCATTTCCCAGTATAACTCTTTCTTGCTTTTATGAACATGTGGGTGTGAATGATAGAAAGGAGCTCATACCTTGTTTTCTTCCTGTAAAATGTTAATCCTTTGTTTACTGGCGTCCCTGCCGTTGCTGTAGTGCTGAGGAAGTAGAATGTGTGGTGAGTAGCAGTTCCCAGGTCCACACGAGGCTTACGCCCCCTCAGGTGCATCCCCTTTGTTGCCTTCCTTGTACTCATTTCTCCACTGTTTTCTATTTCTCTTCTTCTTCCTGAGAAATTGACTTGACTTGATTTTCCTCCTCTCTTATAGAGAGGGGCTTTCCCCTTCCAATGTCTTCTGGTTCTTTCACCTTTCCTTCTCGAAATAGAAACTAGTATTCGTTAGGGGATGCTCTTCTGGGACTCCGGAAGCCCTGGGCGGTGGTGATTTGATCAGCTTTGGTGACCCCCGTTTGTACTGAGCAAGGTGGTAGAGAGAGGTGTGCGAACGCTCTGTGGACTCTTTACAGGGCAGATGCAGGAGAGTCACTGATGTCCCCAAGCCACTTAGAGCTGGGAGGTCAGAGACAGAAGTAAAGGGCCTCATCCTGGGATGGCTCTCAGAGCCTGGGGTTCAGACTTAGGAAAGGCTTACTGTAACCCTCTCCAAGGTGTATATATTTGCTTCAAGATCTCCCTGTGGAAGCCGTGGTGGCAGGGGTCTCCTGGAAGATCAGCGTTCACTCTGGGCTGGTTGTGAAGCAGCCGTAGGATCTGGGTACCAGGCCAGTTCCTGGATCACCTGTGTATGTTGGGCCCAGATCCCCTCTCTCTCTGGAAGAAAGGCAGGCAGAGTGAATGCACAGATTTTGGCTTAGCCAGAATCTTCTTGCCGTCACACAGCTGTGCTGCATGTCAGATCCAGAAGTAGCGTTTTATCATCATTATGCCACGATTCCTCACCCTCTGAAAGATTACGCTTAAGTGTTTTGTTTTCTTTGAACTGTTCTCCACACGCACAGACTGACAGTCCTACCTTTAGAGAGCACTGCTAGGGCCATCCTTCAAGAGAAGTTGTCAGGCCTTTGAAAGGCCTTCCTGAAGCAATCATCCCTCCACCGACACTGGTAATCTTCTCTCTCTATTGATGTCATCAGAGGCCCCTAATCTCTTCCAGCCCTTGCGCTTCGGCTGGCCAGTCGGCACAACCTTCCATTCTTCCATTGCAAGAAAAGGCTTGTGTCTTTTCCTTCTCTCATTTATTTCTCTATAGAGATATCATTCCTGAATAGAGCATAGGACCTGGGGTGAAAAAGAACAATGGAATTGAATGCACAAAGTTGTCTGAGTTGGAATATCCCCGGTCTTGTGGGTTCTCTCTGCTAGGACCGCTATACAGAGTGAGCAAATGCTGCTGGCTTCTAGGCCGTGTTATGTCTGTATGCGGGCACGGACCTGTGTGTGTATTTCTTTTAAGACTAGGCCCCTTTTGGGTAAAACACCAACTCCAGAAGTAGTTCTCAAGCAAGGCATGATGTATGACTAGGTCTGCTCAGAAGGAACATGCCCCTGTTGTATTACAGCCAATAAGCAGCTGGAACCACCGACATCTGAGCTACCGAGACCTGTTTG